GTGGGCCCCAGAGCAACAGTAAAGGCGCCTTCCATGAAAATCATCGACGTATAACACGTGTCATCCCCAGCGCCCACAGAGGCCCCTGCACCCCACTCGCATTTACAGGCTTCATTCAGGACCAGTCCAGTTGGAATTTCCTTGGGGAAGGGAAGCGTGGGCAGAGAGGAGGGGATACAGAATGGGATATTTTGGGGGACGTGCCTGGTAAAGTACCCTGAGGAGAGGAGTACTTTACCACCTCAGTTCTATTTTATGCTGCTGTAAAAAGCCAGTGTTTGGAGGAAGGCAGGGCTAAACCACTCGACTCTGATTGTTTTGGCATTATGTTCACCACATTTAAATGGCCAGTCAGATAGCAATATTCATTTATAAATTGAATTAGATAGTAATTTAAAATAATTCTAGAAATAAAAATCTTCTATTGCAGCGATTCTTGAAATTCACGGAATCGCAAACCCCTGCGAGAATTTAACACCAGTATTCCAAACTCTTCCTCCCCAGAAAAATGCACACGTATATGTAATAATTTAGAAGAATGGCCGTTTTTAGCAGCTATAAGCATTCTTTATAAGGAGAGATTCATCGGTATTGCAAAGGATGTCAAAAGTGAAGTTTTAACCTAAATACCAAAATCTAATAGGTGTAAAATTTCAAAGCAAGGTCACCATTGGCAGACTTTTGGGAGGAAAGGCTTCAAAGTGCTTCTCCTAGTCCTCACTTGCATCACTCACTTGGAGACTACAAAAGAATGAGATCTGGGTTCATGAGATTTCTTTGGAGAGCGTTGCTACCTTGCCGTGAGTGCCCCTTAGCCATGCCCAGGCGTGGGAGCAGGTAGGGGGGACATGGAGTACTGTGTCCCTTACTCTTCACCGGGGAGGGGCTCCCGTAGGATGAGGAAATGTGTTCCACGTGAAGCAAAGGACTGGGTTCTGACTCCAGGCCAAAAGGCTAAAGCATTGGGAGGCAGCAGGAGGATGGCATCCGGGGTGGGAGGCGAGTCTCGGGCGACCAGATAGAGACTTCGGGAAAGAGATTTGTGGAAGCCGTTTTGAGTCCTGTTGAACTCTCCCTCCCCAGAAAAATGCACACATATGTGTAATAATTTAGAAGAATTGCCATTTTTAGCAGCTATAAGCTAAAGAAGAGAAGTGGGCATGTGTGGAGTGGGTGCCTGTGCCCCCGGGTGAGGGCTGAGGCCAGCGTGAAGGTTGAAAGGTATCATGGGAGACAGAGCGGTTGCCGGGAGAAACCCTGGGAATGGCGAGCGGTGCCACCTTCTCGGTCTGGAGAGTGAATTCGTCCGCTCTGGTGACTGTCCTATCCCCTTGCCCCTCATCTCACATGCTCTCCCGTCCCACTGGAATCCAACAAAGCAGGCACAGGTGAGACTGGAAGAGAGAGCAGACAGAAGTCGGCCACAGTCCTGCCCCTAACTCAGGGCTGACACGGGAACAGTGGAGCGTGAATGAATGAGTGAATGAATGAATGAATGACTGAATGAATGGCTGAACGCAGATTGAAATGTCGATCCCAGTGAAATGAAATTGAGACCATGTGCTTTTGACTTAGGCCAAAGGTCTGACATCACAAGAGCAGCAGTGAAGTTCATGGCTTCTGGCCAGGTGCTCATCCAGGGCCAGGGGAAGATTGCTGCACGCCCCTTCCCTGATCCTTACATTTAAAGGGGGCGGTGGGAGGCAAATTTCCACCACGTCTCACAAGTCGTGCAGTTTTGTTTATACTCACTGTAGGATGTTAGCAGACCTCCCAGGCCTATGTGACAGGCTGGCCCTTGTGTTTCACAGAGGAAACTCTGATACATATGGAGAGGGGGTGGATGTTGGGAGTGTGGACACAGGAGCCAGTAGCCCCAAGTTTGGGGGGAGCAGGACAGGCCTAGTGTAAAATAAAAATAAAATATGGGGCCCTTTGTTTAAAGTTATTAAGAATTTCAACATAGTGACAGCAGGGCATTTAACCAAACTCGGGGCCCTGTGTGGCTACATGGGTCGCAAGCCCATGACATCACCTTGAGGTGAGCAATAGAGGTCAGGAAAGGAGGGGACCTGCTAGTGGCCGCGTTGGAGAGAGCTTGGAGAAGCGGCCTGTCTACCTGCGACTTTCTCAGTGAACTGCTGTGCAGCGTGACCCCCTCGGCACAATTCCATGCATCCTTGGTGCAACTGCAAGTCCTTTATGTGAATGGGTTTCTTGTGGGGGCTGGCGAAGGGCTGGCGAGGAGCTAAAACAGAGTAAGCCACGTAGAGAAGGGGACACTGACAGCTCTCCTAACATTTTCCATGAATTTCAAGTGTTTAGGTTAAAGAACCCATGTTATCCGATGAGAGATTTCCTTATGTCATAGTTTCAAGAGACCAAGTGGCTTTTTGTTTATTTTAGTGCAGCAGGATGTTGTGTGATACTTTCTCTGTTGCTCAGAATTAGCAACTGAGGACCAAATCGGGAGGCACAGAGATGCTAAATAGCTGACATTATCATGAAAATCATGGATGGTGAGGGGGCTACACCCCTTCAGGGTTCACAAAGAGATGTCAGTGATACCAACCTCTGCCTTGTCCGCACCCCTGCCGGCCATGTACGAGAGGTTGGCCAGAAGGGGGCCCGCCGCCCCTCACCCCAAAGCCAAGCAGAGAAGTTCCTAGAAAATCGCCGTGGAGAGTGGGGTCATGAAGACGGGACTGCAGGTTCATTTCTGACAGGCGGTTTGCTTAGACAGTGACTTACCGATGGTCCCTGCGCCTCCTAAGCGGGGCAGAGGGAGAGACACCTGGGGCAGCGGGGGGTTGGCTGAGGGGCAGGCCGCAGCCCTGCCCTTGGCATGGCAAGGGCATCTGCATTTTCTATGGATCAAGTGGATGCTGAGAAAGTAACTGGCCTGAACCTTGCTTGCCGGCAATGAGAGGCTGTGGAGGTACAGATGAGGTGAGGGTGGCTGGAAAAGATCGGGCGCACCCATGTCTCATGGGTCAGTGTGAAGATCGCAGTAATGCTTCTGGAAGAACTCCCTTGTAGACGCAGCAACATTATATAGAGAGGACGAAAGACCACTGTTGATCCCCACCCCCATCCCTCCTTTGCCCACCCCAACCCTGTAGGACATAGGAGAAGGGATTGTTTTCCAGCGGTCTGCCATTTTCTCTGCCACCACCCTACCTCTGAGGTAAAGGAAGAAAGAGCCAGAGATGCTCCTAGCCCACTGCAGGGTCTTTCAGCCGTCCGCCCAGCCGGCGATGGGGGAGGGGAAACTTTGCTTCGGTTGCGAAGTTGACATCTTCAGCTGGACTTGACGGAGTTTTGTAATATTAAGAAGTGACTGAGGAAGTTATAGAGTGTGCAGGGTGTCGTTAAGGGGGTCTCTACCCACCAGGGAAAGGAGGTTCGACATGGTCCAGCTGGGGGCAGGACGAGTGAAAAATAACACCATTTCTGGTTCGTATCCTGCGGAGTCGAGACTGGTCCAGTACTATCGGATTAGGGTCTTCATGTTCTTAAGGCTGATGTCAGATAACTGTGCATTTGTGTTGTGCTCTACTGTGTTTGTAAATTGTTAGTTTTGGCGTAACCAGATTCTTTCTGTAAATCAAATACTCGAAATATTAAATGAGGAGAAAAGAAATACACCAGAAGGCAAATTTCTAGATACAGGAGACACTTAAAGAGGTATCTAATAGTTGCTTTAAAAAAAAAAAAAATCCCTCTTTTAAAAAAATTTCAGTCTATTGTAGATTTACTAACAAATGGATGTATAAAAGCATGTTTGTAAGTGATTTGTTATTCATGTTCATTTATTTGTCAACTATGTTATTCTGTTAAATTATTTGTCATCATAATATTCGTTAAGCTACTCTTCCATTTAATTTTTTACTCTAGTGTAACTGTGTCCATGATTTTTACATAGAAAAGTGATATGGCTTTCTATCTCTCTCTCTCTCTCTCTCTCTCTCTCTATAACTGTGTCCATGATTTTTACATAGAACAGTGATATGGCTTTCTGTCTCTCTCTCTCTCTCTCTCTCTCTCGCACTCTCTCTCTCTCCCTCCCTTCACCCGCCCCTCCCCTCCCTCTCCTCCTCTCCTCATTACCAGAGGCTTCTCAAGTATTTGCAATGCTCTTTTTATTTAGACAAAAATTATTTCACCTTTACATTATAATATTCTTTAAATTTTAAATAACTTTGAAGATACCAGCTGTACTGATAAGAAAAATTGTTGCCAGTGATGGTCCATGAGAAGAGTGTAGTGACTCTTCATTCACTGCTGTCTTCACTGTAGAGTTGTTTTCAGATTACAGGTCACGGCTTCATCTTGTCTTTAGGGACAAGCTCCAGATCTTTTATTTTTCTTGGTTTAATGCTGTATCATCTATTTTCTGGAATCCCAGTCTCCTAAAACGTTAAGTAGTACAAGATGTTATCCTGCATCAGAACAATAGCATGTAAGGTCATATAAAATTACAAGCCATGGTTTTAATCGCCTAATTATACTTAAGTTGAATTGCGTTACACTTGGAATGAGTGAGATACTGATGGGGTCCTGAATTTGTAATGGGCACTCAGACTCGCGAATGTACCGTTGACTCGTCTCTCTCCCTCATCACTGCCCCACTCCCAACCCCTGATTAGTTGACAGTTCCTACCCCTGTATACGCCTGAGGACCTCAGCAGAAACATCAGTGGTTCTCCTGTTCCCGATGAATAACGTCCCCAACGCTCAACCTGGCCCTGAGTGTCTGCGTCCTCTGCTCTTACTCCGTTCTTCTCGCTTTCTTTCCTCTCCTCTGTGTTCTTGACAAACTGAACCCCAGTGGTTCCCAGACCTCCTTGCTTTGATACCTCTGCTCATACTCCTCTCTGCCTGAAAGTACCATCTCTCTTCCCATCAGATTCTGAATGATCAAAACAGAGCCACCTTTCAAAGTCCAACTCACAAAACATCCCTGGAATCCCATATGAAGAAATCTCCTTTTCTCTTTAACCTTTGGTAGGAACTTATTTGTGCCTCTCATATCATTTCATTCATTCTGTCAAATATTAAAGGCTTACTATGTGCCAGACACAGTTCTAGGCATGGAGGATATGGAATGAATATTGTGGGATTTATAGAACCAAATTTCTAGTAAGGGGGATAGACCCTCGATATATAATATGGCAAGTGGTGATAAGTACCATGGTTAAAAATAAATAGTGTTCTGAAAAGGTCTTACTGATAAGGTGTCATCATGTGTCACCTGACTTCCTTCAGATCTTTAAACCTTTTTAAATTTAAAAAAGTTTTTTTTTTTCACATATACTCTACTAGAAAATAATATGCGGTAGCTTATTAATTTTTGAGACTTTTATAGTACCTTGTGCTCCAATTTGTACACAGTAGATATTCCATATTTACTAACTAGTACAAAGACCGATAATAATAACAGGAATTATTTATAACATGAAATCCAGAAAAAAGAAAAAAATGCTTTAAAGTTGAGGAAGAAAACCCGAATCTGAGACTTGGATTACTGAGATGGTGTCCTTTATACTTGCAGACAATCCCTCATATGGGACCTTTACTGTTAGAGAGATCAAGTGCTAGGCAATATGTCATAGGGTTAGGGTCCCAATCCTGTCGTCAAATATTCCCACTTAGTGTGTGGCTGATGAGTGCTGAGATGTCATCTCATTACTTTATACCCATAGTCATGTTTATATCTGACCTTCTATAGTTCTTAGTTTAACAGGTGTTTATTACCCTGTGTCTTTGCCTTTTTCCTAAGAAATTTAACTTTCTTAGAAACTGCTTTTGAAAAGATAGAACCCTTTTTAAAGTTTCTGGACCAGCAGTACGTAACTATGCATGCATTTTAACTGGTTTTCAGGTATTTACCTTGGATGTTTTTGATCAGGATTCTGGCTTTCTTGGAGCTGATAGGTCACGGAGTAAAGTAACTTATTGACAGATGGTGAATGCATGGATTGTTGGAGCATATCACCCAGTGTCTTGGTGACACTTTTGGCTGTTGTTCTCCCAAACCTTTGGGGCAGATTAGGAACACGTCTCCAGATGCTTTCCTGAAAGTTTCCTCTGAATCTCAGAGGCGGGTCGGCCATCCCTCTGGTGCTTTCTTTTTCCATGGTCCTCCCAAATCTCAGCGGCAGGTTGGCTGCTGAGTGTGGCATTTTGTTGACTGCAGGTGTATTCGTCTTAAGGACATTTTTTGGACCCCAATCTTTTAATTCTTCAAAATTGAGACTTCTTTTCTTTTCCCCTTTAAGGTCTCCTCTAGGCTATCATTAGAAATGACCGTTAAAATTATTCATTGTTGTTAAAAGCAATAGATTTGAACCCCAAATTAACTTAAATCAAGGCTTTAATCCATAGAATTGTTAAAGCCATAAGCAAAGTTTGTGTTTTCATAAGCAGACTATTTTAATAAATAATTTGCATTAAGCTTCTTAAAGCAATCTACTTTCTCTGTCCCTGGACTATTGTAAGAGAACTACTAATATTAATAAAAATCTATAGTGAATACAGTAGGGTGTTCAAGCCACAGGAACATAATGAGATATTGAAATGAAGCAAAAGTTTATTTTACTACAGTGATTGTCTTTCAGTTTTTGATTCATGTTTAAGGAGTATTTCATGTATTTTTATATTTTGATTTTAGAGAAACCTCCACTGCCTCTTCATGTCTCTTGTTTTCCCCTCCTTAAAGACCAAAGTGGTGGATACATGGAAACAGAGATGCTAGCCGGGTTTTGGGGTACAGTCGGAGGAGGCTCCTCTGAATTTCTTTTTATCCAACTCATATTCAGAGTTCCAGTGTAAAAGTATTTCTCAAGAAAGTGTATTTTTAGTAATATATAAATATACTTTTGGTAAAACACCAATTAGTTTGTGGGTTACTGTACTATTAATGTACTAAATTTAAATAAACTATTTAAAAATACAGCAGCTATATAATTAGATTTAGTTTAACTGTGAAGGTTGTCCATCTAAAAAATTTAAAAGATTGTTCTCTGATTGTGAAAAGAGGCAGTGGAGGCTTCTCTCAAGTCAAAATATAAAAGTAATATATACTCATTTCAGCAAATTTGGAAAATATCTAAAAGCATAAAGAAGAAAATAAAAATAACTTGCAATTCCACCATCTGGGGATAAATCTTTTAGCTAGATACATACAGATTTACCGCAAATTTACTAGCTCATAATTATTAAGTAGAAAATATGAATGTCATAGTTTTTATTGTTTGTAGCTGAAGACAGTTCAGATGTCCAGCTGAAATGTATCCAGACATTATTTTTGCAACTATTTGTAACAAGTGCGTACTTCTGAGTCAGTTGAAAATTATTAATGCACCTGGTGCTTGCTAAGCATCATACTCTGTACTTGTCATTAAAGAGGCCAGGTTGTTTGCTATTGTGGTAAAAAATATAAGTTATGTCAATACACTGTCATAGGAAGACCGAAGTTTGACAAAAAACAAAGCGCAAACTGACTCTTCGTTACTCTACAAAAGCATTAGACTTGGACAGCCATATAGTTAATGCCTATCACGTTAGATAGAGTTTAAAAAATCTTACCTCAGAATATTTGTCATAGTTTTCTTTTCTGTGAAGTTTGGACATCATTAATTCATCTGCACAGAAGATGGGTGTTAACAAGCTTGAAGTGACTAAAGTCAATAAAAGGAATCGTTTTGATGAAATAACTTCCATTTTGTCCAAAATCTAGAATTAAGTTTATATGCACAGTCTGATGTCTACAAGAAAGGAAACTGTGGTCTTTTTATACTGTCTTAAAAACAAAGGAAAGTTTGCTTTAACAGTGAAATCAATCCCACATTTTTAAGTGCTAATGTTAATTAGGGTGTTTAACTAAAATATGTATGTGAGGAACGTGAATAATGCATTCTGGGAAGAGACAGCAACATTTTTGCTTACAAATTCATTAACTTTGAAAATAATTTTCCTCATTAAAAAGGAGCTTCTAATTAGGTAAATTTGGGACCATAGTAATTAAGATTCCAAACAAACAGAATGCTTAAATTCTCTGAGCTCAAACAACAAAAAATATGTTGGTGTTTGCGTCAATTCTTGAGGGAAGGAAAAAATAGTATTCAATACATGCTAGCCATGTAAAAAAAAAATTATTTTTTATCCGCACAAAAGAGTTAGGCATAGCGTTTTCAAAATGTCAAACAAAATTAAGACTGTGAAAAGAGTTCTAAGTCTCACAATATCCAAATAAAATGCTATTAATTAACTTTTTGTAAAATGCTGTTCGGCTATTAAAAAGCTTCCAGAGAAAATGTCAGCTGCAATGTGAAGGCTGTGCGTAAGATGGTGCGATAGGCATTTTGACAAACTGGCTGTCTCAGGAGAAGCCGTAGGCAGTTCAAAGCCTTTTGTTTTTGCCCTGTGGGCCTTATTTGGCAAAACTGTATAAATCACCGGGATTTTATTTCGATGAGATGCGGCCCCCTCCCTTCTTCTTCAAAGCCCTTAAGAACCTTAGCAAAGGTTTGGTGAGTCACACACATGCTGATTTTGTGGCTCCCCTGGCCCAAATTAGTTAGGTAATCTCACATTGCTACAAGCATACTGACATCATGGCATAAGGAAAGAATTTACAGAAATAGATGCTTATTTACTGAAAGGCCAGAGCGAGTCTCTTTTGGTGCAGGTGACATATTCTCAAAGACTTGTCGTATCACTAGACTGCCTAGGTGCCAGAGAAATCATTATTAGTTCCCACCTGTCCATTCAACCCTCGCAGGAGAAAAACACCTTACGTTGATTGATTTCCAACACTCGAGCTACTTTTATTCACAGGTACTTAGCGGTGAAGTCACAAAAGAGGGAGTCATAAAATTGCACCTTTTGTGTCAAGAATTGTACCACCTCTAGCCTGTCTCACCAGCCTACCATAATCTGAGGTCTGCGATGGCCAGAAGTGAAGACCTCTGTCTGTGTTATAGATCTCCAGAATAAATCAGAAAGTTGAAAACAACAGTGGATAAACTCCTGGGTACCCTCTGCCTCTCTGAAGGCGGTTGACATCACTGGCCTCATTTGTTTTGGTCCTGTGGTAGCTAAGGAGCTGCACAGTAGGAGGCAATTAATTCAATTCTTAGTCTAATGTTAATTTTGTAATGCAGTTATTGGAGTATTTGGATTTAATTTCCCTGAGGATTTAATACAGTTCTCTTCTAAGTTGTTTCTTTGCAAACTGCTGACGGAACTTCCTTTTTTTTTGTGGTCAGTGGATCCAAACTTTTGAGAAATGGGAGACGCAAGGAGTAAGTTATGTTGGTTGAGTTAGTACTCAGGGAAAGTTGAAGGGATCGGCCCTGGGTGTGTTTCAAAATATGTTTGTATCTAGCTGTTTCAAACTTTAGCAGTTCACCAGTTTCAATGCTGCTTCTTAGGGTTTTGGCACGTCAGTTAGAGTTTTCCTGTTTGCAGGTCCAGAGTAGCTGATGTGGCTGATTACTCCCCTGCCTCCACCAGGTTTAAGCTTCCAAGTTGGGTGTGTAACTAGTTATCTTATTATTAGAAAGACTTGGCTCTTTTGAATCATATTTGTAGTTAGCTTTGAAAATGTTGATAGATAAAAAAATGACATTACCTAACATACACAACACAAAATTATCATGTCTTTTGATGAAACGTGCTGCCATATATAATAGCACATTTAAGGATTCTTGATGCGACGAATGAGCATACGAATATTAAAAAAGATCTCTGTCTCCCTGACATGTGGCTTTTACATACATGCTTCATTTACTAAGATTTTGGAGACCTTAAGCCTACTCACTTCTAAGCCTCTCTCTCCAGCTTGGACATGTCTCCTGAGCTCTAGACCCCCAAGACTATCAGCTTCCTGCCAGACAGCACTGTATGTATGTCCCGCAAGCACCTCGAGTCCAAAGTGGGATTTATCTTTTCAATACCTGTCTCTCCTCCTGTGCTTCCCATTTCGATGAAGAGTACTGTATCTATCAGGGTCCAAGTGGGAGACAGAAAACAGAGTAATTTGAACAGGAGATGGTTAACATAAAGAATTATTAACTATAACAGGGACTAACTATAAAAGGGTAAAAAATAACTAAGGCCACGGGAGAGTATCCAAGGAAAGGACAAATTGACTGGAATTCAGATCGTATTGGAGACGGTTGGATGGCAGGGAGGTTTGCTGGGTTACACCAGGCCAGAGCCTGTCCACAATTACAAGTGGGGAGACACCTTTCGAGGGTGCAGGTGCACCAATCCGGGCAGGCGACTTCTGGAGTATCTCAGACTCAATGGGAATCTGCCACTGAAACTTGATGGGCGGTGAGTGCTACTTGATGTTCCCTACATGCACCACTGGCAGCAAGAAAAAGCAAATGGAAGCACAGCTGATCCAGAAAGAGAAGTCTCTTCTGCTGCACTACCCCTCAGGTGCCTTTTATTGAAATGGCCAAACGCCAGCTGCAAAGGAGAAATACGTACCGGGGCCTTCATCATTTCAGAGCATGAAATGAAGCGTGGATTTGGAGCTAAGAGGCAATAAATAGGTAGCTGGCACAGTTACTGTCATCAACCCATTTGTCCAAGCGAAATCCTTTGTAAGATCCTTGACTGCTTCCTCCCCTTTCCTCCCACATCCCATTCTACAGTTAACAAACAATCGTTTCTAGTTTCGAGTTGTTATGCTCAATAGCCAATGTTTTTTTGAGCACTTATCCTATGCCAGGAACTGTTCTAAGTACTTCATGAATTAACTTGTTTATCTTTCATAATAATCCCACGAGTAGGTACTATTATTATTGTTCTTACTCTACAGAAAGGGAAACTGAGGTGCAGAAGGATGAAGTCACTTTCCCCGTAAGTGGCAGAGTCAGGATTCGAACCCAAGTCTTCTGAACACTTACTCACTCTGCTAGTCTGCAACCAAGTCTGGTCTCTTCTAACTTCTAAGTAGCTCTTAACATCTGTTCATGTCTCTCTACCCGCATTGCCATTACTCGGTTCACCATTTTATCTTGCCTAGACCTTTTTCTTGGTTTTCTACAATTCTTCCTCCACGGGGTGATCAGAACATTTTAAAAATAAAATACAACGTATTTATGATTTCTTCCTCAACACCTTTCAGTGATCTCCCATTTGTTTCAGAATCACTTAGAGAGCCAGCTCTTCATTACTTGCGCTCTTCTTATTTCTCCAGGATTCTCTCTCTCCACTCCCTACCAGCTCTCTGTTTTATGACAAACTTCTTGCTGTTCTTCTGGTTGGATGTGCTTTCTCTTGCCTCCGGGCCTCTGCCCATGATTGTCCTGTGCATGGGATATTTGTCCACTCCCCTCTCCTCCTCACACCGTTTCATTGTTTGGGTCTCAGCTGAGGCATCACATGTTTCAAGAAGTCTCTCCTGACTTCTGGCCCCAATAAGTGGCTCTTTGCTCTTTCCTAATCATGGCTCTGTCCACTGTCACTTGTCCGATTCCTTGTCCCCCCTCTGTTGCTCTGGACACTATATGGGGGTAGGACCTTGCTTGTGCTCATCATAGTGGCATTCCATGGTCATGGACACTCAGGAAATGTTATTTCTAAATGAAAGAACAAGTTTTTCATTAGCACCAGAAATACGAATGAAAAAAAGTTGCTTGTTAATTATTTTCCCCAGTTTTGGCTGTTGACCAGAGTTTTCTTTTTAACGTGACTTACACATTATTAGAACTTAACTTTATCAGCTTATCCTGAAATCATAACATCTTAACATTCTCCTCTTGAGGATTCACATCTAAAGCTTTCTGGGACGGAGACTCAGACACAGACAATCAGGCACGACTAGGCCGAATGTGAGTGTAGGTTTGTTTTGTTACAGTGCAACATACAGCTTGTTAAATTCAGTGTGGTCTGATGGACCTTGCCAGGTTGATGGGCCCAGACACCAGGAAGAGTGTGAAAAGGGACTACACAGCCCCAAGGAGGGCTTCTCGATATTTCAAGGTCTCCCACCAGGCAGTCTTCATGGTGCTACTGGCTCTTCTGGCTAAGATCAGTAAAGGCCTCTCTGACTGCTTATTTTCCATACCTACTAGATGCTCCCTAACTTCTAGCAGGCAGTTAGAGCCAGAGGACAAATCATTTCCACCAGTCAGGAACTGAGCTGATTTGAGTTGTGTTTAGGACTTTTTAAGGCTCTGGTTTATCTGTACCTCTAGTAAAATATTTAAAATAAGAGGTTGCTTTTGTGCAGTGGGGCTGCAAGTTTTTATTTCAATCTTTGTGTAGAAGGGCCAGCTCACTCCACACATTTATCCATGCCCCCTGAGGCCATGGTGAAACCTACCAAAGAGGTGGTGAATTTTAATATCCAGAGGAACCTCATTAAAGAACCCTTCTTCTCAACCTGGCCATTTACTTCCAGGGCATTTGCCTATTTACACTGTTCATTTCTTCCTTTCCATCTAAGCATAATCCAATCATGCTATGCAGACGAATTTATGGGCAGTATAGTCTTATTTTGCATTTCATGTTTGCGAAGTATTTTGCAGCCATTCGTTAACTACTTTCAGGCCCTCTTTAGAGGTGGGTGGCGGAATGACTGTATAATTCATTTCAGGATTATGTGTGCAAAGAGAAATAAGCACCTGCCTTGGTTTCAAATAAAATCATCCTATGCAAATTGTATAAAATTACTATTTTTAAAATGTGTAGTAGTGCCTTTG